GGGAGCACTGCTTCCTAGTCGTGGAGGGCAGACGGGTGGTGCCGACAGAGCGCGAATCTGGAGTTGGCTCGCTGACAGAGCCGGCCCACGTGAACTTTTCCTTGCGCCGGAGTCCCCAAATGCCCCTGGTGCGTTGGGTTCGTCCTGGGTATGCCGGATGAATTTTTGGCCCAATCCGGTGGAAATCGGGTCCCTGGGAGGTGATTGGGAGAAAATTGAACCGCCGGCGGAAAGAAAGTGGTCCGGGGGGGGGGCTAGGGATGCTCTTATGAGCGCCTACTCAGCGGTCGGGCGTGTGACTCGGGAACTCCTAGGCACTCGGTTCAATAGTACAATTTGGGTTTGCCTCTAAGGCACCCTCCCGACGGGTACCCTTACTCACCGATAGGCACCCTCCGACTTCGGCTCCTCATGCTCATCCGGGGTTTCTACCTGCTCAAATCGGAGTGCGTGAAGCTGGCCGTGTACGCACGCGCCTACTCGAGCACGACTCGGCACCATGGTCGGGCTGGTTACACTTTCTCGTCGGCCTATCGGTATACAACACTCCCAGCCTTCGCTGATGTGGAGTTTTGCCGCCGATTATCGACGAGCATGTGCTGTTGTGCGGCATGCATTAGCGAACGTGTACGTGATGTGAAGAGTATCGATGTTATCGACGTTGTGAGGAGGGGTGATGTTGGTATGCGCGGGGCGTAGCCACGATGTCGCGGAGGGGCAAGGTCGAGAGCGGAGGAGGATGGGCGACGGACGGTTATGTTTTGCATCTCTCTTCAAAATCAATTATTTTTTGTACTAATTGAATTCGTAGCAAGCCGTGTATGCTATATAGCCTATAGACAGGCTGAATTAGCTTAAATCCCCAGCAAAACATATATCTAAAACAGTTTTTCCATTGATTTTTCTTCCTATAGAAAAAAGGAAAAGGAAAGCGGCAGGTTTCATCAGCCTCCCGCCCCCTTCAACATTCGACCGCCCGCTCAAACCTCAAGAAACAAGAACCGAGAGTGGGGAAATCCCCAAATCCCCAAATCCCGAGCTCCCTCCCATGGACATGGAGAGCGACGAGGCCGCCGCGCGCTCCCTCGCGGCCGTCCCCGGAGGCGGCGGGAGTGATTTCTTGAGCCGCCTCCCCGACCACCTCCTCGTCGACATCCTCCTCCGCCTCTGCACCAAGGATGCCGTCGCGACGACCGTCCTCTCCAGGCGATGGCGCGCCGTATGGCCTGGGCTCCCCCACCTCAACTTCGACGGCGTCGACCCCTCCGTACCCGCCCGTGCGCTCGCTTCCTACCAGGACCTCGCCGCATTCGACATCCAGCGCCTCGCCGTCTCGCCCAATCAGGTGGACGCGCAGGAGACCTCCGCCTGGCTTGCCCTCGCCGCGCCCCGCCTCACTGGCCCGCTACACTTAGACATCAGCCGTGCTCTTTCGGAGGAGGCATTGGATGACCTCCTCATGGCGGACGAGGTCGATGACGACGACCAGGAGGCCTTGGAGTTCCCCTGCTTTGTCAGAGCCACGGAGATTCGACTTGACCTGGCGTTTCTTGCCCCGGTGTTGCCACCAATTGGCGTCTTCGAGGCGCTTAGGTCGATCTTCCTGCATAATTTTCGATGCCAAGGCCAGATCATCTTCAACGACATGGTGTTTCCTTCCCTGCAACATCTGACCATGAACAGGGCCCGTTGCCTGAACGTGCTGATCAACTCCAACGCGCTGGTATCCGTTCACCTATCTTACTTCATGCTGCTGCAGCAGCTTGCCATCATGGCTCCAGGGCTACAGCAGCTAGAGGTGCTGTGCTGCTTCTATGACGCGCCCATACCAGTTGCCAACATTACTGCGGAAAGCTTAGAGGTTCTCAGCTGGGATGGGCCGTATGACGCAGAGTTTGTTCACTTTGGAGAGATGCCTTGCCTCTGGAGGCTCAGAGCCCCTCCCATCTTCACACTTCGGTGGCAGGAATTTCAGATGGCTCAGATTTGTGCAAGGTTTCTAAATCGGTTTGCAGCAGTTAATCAGCTGGAGCTTCACATGAGTCTTGGCGTGAGTCTTCTTTCTTGGATACATTTTTTTACAGTCTCCTCTTGAACTTAAATTGCCCAGATATGATAGAATTGATTTTCTCTTCCAATAATGTCACAGTGTGCCTTTGAGATTGAATTGCGTTGTGACGAAGCAAGATCATATTGCAACATGAGATTTGCTCACAAATAACTATTGACTAGTATGGAATTAGGAGTTCAGAAACAACACTGTTGGTATTGAAGGGTATACTTCCAATGGTTTGAGTTTGTACACATTTACATGTGCGACTATCCTCGAGGAAAGCAGCAAATAGGAGTTCAGAAGCAGCATTGTTGGTATTGTAGGATATACTTCCAGTGGTTTGAGTTTGCACGTTTATACATGAGAAAGTATCCTCCAGGAAAGCGGAAATAGGACTTCAGAAACAGCACAGTTGGCATTGTAGGATATACTTCCAGCGGTTTGAGCTTGCACGTTTATACATGTGAAAATGTCCTCCAGGAAAGCAGAAAATAGGAGTTCAGAAACAGCACTGTTGGTGTTGTAGGATACACTTTCAGTGGTTTGAGATTGCACTTTTATACATGTGCAATTATCCTTCAGGAGCAACATTGTTGGTCTGTTAGGGTATGCTATTGCTGGTTTTGAGATATGTATATACTTCAAAGATGTCAGAGAGTCTAGAAGGAAAAAAAGAAGAAGGAAAAGATTGAAAGTTAAGGCTGATGCAGTTTCTCAAATTTTTACTGAGTGTAAATTCACTGAGGGTCAGTAAAAGAAGCTTGGACAAAGTTTGGTCAGTCAGTATCTCATTCATTTCTGAAGTGCGGTGAAGAAAAATTCATTCAAAAATTAATGCTAGTCATTGAGTTATCGACAAAAGATTATTTGTCGCCTTCAAGTCACTGTCACTTGTCTTTGGTGTGTAAAGTGAAGTTTACAATTGTGTGTGCTAGTTTAACTGGGTTCACATGTTATATTGGCAAATGGTAATTCTGAAACTACTTCTATTTTCTGTTTCTGGATGTTGGGTGGTGCAGACATGTATGTCAAGGTAGTCTATGGTTCCCTGTCATGTATATTTGATTACTCTCCCTTTCATTTTGTATGATCTCACCTTTGTTGACTTGCAATGAATCAGCCGGAGATGGAAGGGTCACTTCTCTTGATGGGAGACTTGACCATCCCTGACGTGAATGTCTTGGTGTTATCCTTAGACACAAATGGGCATGCGTCTGAAAGAAGTGTATTGCGATTGCTCGCAAAGTGCTATTGCATAAGAAAGCTGAACCTATCATTCCAAATGCAAGACCAGGTAATCACACCCTCTGTCATGTACTAGTATTCAACATTTTCACTATCCTAACAGAGTTGAGCAATGCATTTATTTTACTATATATTCGGGAACCATATCATACTAATGATTTTTAAGTGATACAGTATAGCTGGTGTCAAATGGTGTGCATGAACAAGAATGCCCATTGGCTGTTGGAACAGAACTAAAATTCCATTCTCTGTTTAAGACTAGGAGAGCATAGACATGCCAAGGACATGCGACTTGAAAAACAAGAGCACTAAGGTGGTTTAACATTATGATATAATTAAACTGAGCTCTTGATACGAGTTAATTAATAGGAATAGTTACAGAGGCCAGGGGGTGATCCCTCATTTTCAGAGAAAAAGAAGCTATTAGGAATAGTTAGTATGAAGTGTACACCTATTTGTCAGGTATATCTTTCTTCTACAGTTTTTGTACTTCTTGTCTTGTGTAATGTAAAGAGGAAGTATCATCTATAGTGGCAGTCTATAAGATGTAGAATTTTAAAAATATAAGCTTATGCTTGATGTCCTGAATATGATCTTGATATCATGATGACTGCATCTCAGGTATTTCCTTGATGGTGTTTGAACCTCTGATCTTATATTGCTCCCAAACAAATGATAGCAGTAGATTAAAGAGTTGTCGATCTTGCCATTTGCTTATTCTGTACCACGGCAAAGCTTTTGCACTGCCCATGGAGTCATGCATCTAATTTTCTCTGTTCATTCCTAACACACTTACGCGTGTTCTCATTCCAGGTGGAAAATTACTGTGTACAAGGCTGCATTTGCCACACAGAACCAGAAGTTGAGGTCGTTCTGATGTGGGCTCTGACAAGAATGGACATAGTCAACTACATAGGACTCCAGCTCAACTTTATGTTGTCGAACAACTATTGGCAAGGGCGCCTAGAATTAGATTGATGAGAATAATAATCTCGGAGGCTGAGGATCCTTTCGAAACAGAGGCTGAGGATCCTTCACTGGGTATCATTGAAAGCTTATGCCCTGCTGGTTGTGTACTTGAGCTTGTATGGTGTTAGAAGAGTAGAGGAATAGGTGACCTGATACCTGACTTGCTATTAGAGCTGTTGAAGCATACATTTTTTGTTTTGTTTTGAGGAATGTACACATCTGTCCGTGAGAGACTGAAGATGAATGCATACATATTCATTGTACATGTACATGTTGAGCGCCAAGCATTATTGTATACAGTGGGTATATACGGAATCATGAATAATGACTGAAATAGAAGAATCTCATATATTGGATTTGTTCATATCATGGATGTGATCAGTTCAGTGTACTTATTTGTTTGTTGCTGCATTTGGTGGCTGTTTGGTTGGAGGCCTGAGCACTGTGCCTGGAAAATAATGTTGCCTGAGTGTTGCTTGAGGAGTTGGAATATTTTGTCTTGGGGATGGACCTATTATTATTATGTAATTATTTTTGGACGCCCGTATCTCGTTCGCCAGGGGGAGCAGCTCCTAGCGAACGATTTCAGCCGCCCCGATTGATTGCTAGGAAGGAGGCCTGGGGTGAACCCCCAGTTTAACAAAAATAATAATTCAAAAACAATGTTATCAATAGAAAAAAGACCCTAAATTGGCACGATCTAACTTATGAAAAAAATGCCATACTACTTTATAAAAAATGCCATCTCTCTAATGTATAAATATACCATGAGTATGATTAAAAAAATGTTGTATGAACTATAAAAATGAAAAATGTCATGCTAAAACATTAAAACTGCCAACCTCAGGATAAGAATGCCATGAACAAAAAGTGCCATGTGAACACAAAAAGAAAGAAACAAAAATCCAGGTTAAAAAAGGGACATCTCTTAATAAACAAAAAATACCAGCTAAAAACCAAAATGCCATCACTTAATAATAAAAATGCCATCTCTTAATAGTAAAATGGCCATCTCTTAATAATAAAAATGCCATCTCTTAATAACAAAAAATTCATCTATTAATATTAAAGTGCCATCTCTTAGTAATGATGATAATAATAATAAATTCATTTTTATAAAAACACCATACGCTTAGTGATAAAACTGCCATGCCATTAAAAATCATAATTTGCCATGTGACCATTGCAAACATATTCTAAAGCCTTGTGTTAGATTTATTTTTTTATAAAGTTACCATGATGTGCAGAACAAAATTATCAAAAGTTACCATCCATGATTTTTCTCGAATCTACATACAATTAATATAGATTGTCATGATGTACAATTTAAATTTCCCATGTGACCATTCTATATTTTACCAAATACTTGCCAAGTTTTGTAGAAAAAATAGCCTAAATTTGTCTTGTTACTGTTTTCAGATTTTCTTAATTTTCCATGGTTTAGGAAATTTAACTATTTTAAATTTTTTTACAATTTTTTTTGAACTTGTGTTGATTCCCAATATTTTTATCTACCATCTACCATGTGACCACTATAAATATTTTCCAAATTTTGCCATGCTTTCAGAGGACAAATCTTTACATTTTCTGTGTGACCAATAATTTGCCATGATTTTAGGATACAAGAATTTCTAAACTAGTTATGCGACTTTATAACTTTGCCATGATTTTATGATACAAAAAATTCCAAATTAGGCCATGGATGGTCATTATGTAACGCAACCATGGAACATTCATTGTTTTGTCAATAGTAACCTTTTTTTATATGTTTTGTGTAGCTATTTTGAAGTTCCCTAAAGAATAAACACAGCTGATACGTATTGTCCGCTGCGAGCGGTAAGACTCTGATCGCCCACGCGGGCATGCCAGCTGGCCCATTTAATCGCGCTACGGGGCGCTCACAAGCAGCCTGTTATAGGAAGGTTTTGGAAGCTTTGATGCCGGTTTTGGGAAGCTTCCTGCCTGTTTATTTCCTGTTATTATTATTTTATTTTTTATGCTTTATTAATTTCGTTTTGTTCTGGTTCTTTTCGTTTGTTTTCTTTTCTTCTCTTTTTTTTATTATTTCAGAACTTCATAAATTTAAAAATGTTCAAAATCTTCAGAAACCATTGTTTGAATTTCGAACATGTGCGTATTTTTGAAATGATTTTAGAATATAAAAAATTGTTCACATTTAAAAAACATATTCGTGCTTTTTTTAAGTGTTCGGCATTTAAAAGGTTGTCCACAATTTGAAGAAATGTTTAATTTTTTAAAAATCTGTTTGGGATGTCGAAAATTGTTCGTGAAAATCCATGAATGTCTTTGTATTTGCATGACTTTTTATGAATTGATGAATATATTTTTGTATTTTATGATTTGTTTTGATTTCGGAAACGTCCTTTGAAATTGCCTACTTTTTTTTCTGAATTCGCAAACCTTTTTGTATTGACAAACATTTTTTGAATACATGTGAATAGTTTTTAGAATTCACAACTTTTGTATTTTGTGTTCGTGATTCTTTTGAATATTATAGATTAAACTCCGAAAAAAACTAAATGATTAAAGGACCGATCTAGCGAGCGGTTGGCTGCTCGCTAATCGTCCCGAGCGGACGGTCTAAAACAGACAATTTGATACCTAATCCATAAAAGATAATAATTTGTCCCTTCCAATTGATAAAACAATTCTAATTAAAAAAAGTACCACGTACAAAAGCATACA